TAGAAGGCAGGATAGTCCAATACCAGGATGATAAGGCTGGACCGGGAACACCCAGGTCAGATTGGGAAACAAGCCCATGGTACAGGATGGTTTGAGACATTCAAGATACAGAAGAAATGCAATACATACTGGCTGCTGTCAGACGGGGGGGGGGAGAAGCACTCTGCCAAAAGAAGCAGCATATGCATTTGACCCAACTCCGCAGCATCTTTATAAATTGTGTGCTTCAGCAGGGCTTTTCAGCTACCAAATCAAAGCAGCAAAAAAGCTCCACTAAAGCACCTGATCTATACAGACAATGGGCAAGCCGGGTCAAACTAAGCTGTTCTGGGCAGGCACTAGGTTAGGCTTGGGGGCACACTGAATTTAAAGTAAAGCCCCTGTCTTGTTTTGGTTTTTTAAGTCTATAAGCAGCTTTGATAATCGTATAAAAAGAGAACTGGAAAGCAGGGCAACTTTGTAACAGCCTGGGGGAGCCTGCATGGTTTTGTGCTGACTACCTTGTCACAGGTACAAATTCACCAGCTCTTGGTCTGATGTACTTGCTAGACCACAATATGTTAGGGTTGTGTTTGTGTAGACAATAAACCCGGCCAAATCTTTGCCACCAAACCAAGCCTGTGGCCATTCTATTAGACAAGATTAATGTTGGGATCTCCTGGCTACTACCTGTCGACACTCCAGTTCCTGAAACTTCAACACTGACAACTTATCCATAACACCCAACGAGGCCAACAGCAACCATGGCACCAACAACCCCAGATGACAATAACCAGATGGCTTCTGCAGTACCGTTCGCTGATAAAGTTGATCTCATCGTGGATACATTTCTACCTTTCATGAGAGCCCTATGAGTTAATGTCATGCTGAACATAGATCAGCTTGGTCAGCACTAAAGAATTTTACATCGATGCCACTACCAGCTTAGTGGTAGCACCGGTGGGTACCCCAGTGTCCACATGGCTCCCACAGACAGACAGGTTTTTACTAGCATATGCATTAAGCCTTAGTTCTGCATTGTGGCGGGGAGAAAAGGAAGAAAAGACTGCCCCAAAAGTGGTCCAAAGTCACAAAAGAAAGGAGTAGCTCTTCAGCATTCTCCTGGGAGACCCTTCAACCTAGACATCACATGGTCATAGAGCTGGGCACTTGGAAGGATGCAGCCATATGGTAACACAGAGCTCAGGGGACCTGACAGACATAAGATTTAATCCTGATTAGGACACGCCTGTCTGCCCCTCTGCAATCTTTCCCTCCCCATTATACATTACGTGTGCCAGCTGCCAAATTTGGATCTAAGTTTGGATTCTGGACCCCCTCCCCACTCCTGAAAGACCAGAAGGACTCAAGATCTGAGGTCCATGTACAGTTGAGGTTTATTCAGGTTACTTGTTAAACGTGGCTACTCTGGATCAGGATGGGCCGCTTTGGGTCAAACCCCAGAAGATGCCGAGGAACTCCTGTGAGCACTGAACGGAGTTCATGTAACAAGATAAAAGTCCATCCAGATTTTGTCCTGAATAAGCATGAGAGAAAAGCTGAACATTGAAGTTTTATGGCTTTTGAGGAACTGACCATATTACATCAGAAGTGTCCTGCAAGTCTAGAGAATTTGTGCTTAGAGGAAATGCATTTCAGCTGCCATACAAACACAGTAGATGAACAGAAAGATCCTTATTTCCTCAGCATCTGTAATCTGACAGGACTGTAGGTTAGCTACAAAGACTTTCCCATGGAACCTAGAGAAGGACTTTCAAGTGATGTGAAAACATGCCCTGATTCAGGCAATCTGTGGTTTACTTCACCTTGTACCGCTTCCTTTGAAGTCAATGGTAAAGTATTTTTCATTGTTCAATAAGCTAAAATCTTATAACTCTGCTCTATCTGTGAAGAAAACAGCAAATTAAATGAAATTCTATACTTATGATACTTCCACTGCCTTTTTATTCTTTTGCTAAGACTTGTATCTGAATGTTAATAAAGAGATGTACGCGGGGCATATTTCTTCCAGCCAAAAACTAACAATTAGCAGCTATTCTCCAGCCGACGCTGTCACTCTCTCCTGGTGTATTTAAAAAAGCCTAATTATATTTCCATTGTTACACATTTCAATGTCTTAGATACTTACAATATTCAAATCACAAATTCTAACAGAAACTGTACAGCTGAATCTAAATACTTTAACCAGTTGCACTATTAATTCAATTAAAATTATTGTCTTTCTTCAAAGTATACTCTTTAAAACTCAGCATTATATTATATTGCAGCACTCAATAAAGGGCAACTTGCTTGCGATACTTATTGATACCCATGAAATACTTTCCCTCCACAAAGGCTGACATTTTCCCAAGCGGTGGTTTATTTATTTTTTCCTTTACTTTTCAAAATATGTTTGAATCTGTATTAATCTGTTTGTATTTGTTCTTCTTTCCAGCATCCTACTTATTATTCATTAATTTAATTTAATGTATATATAAACTGCTTTTTTTTAAGGAAGAAAAGCATGTATCCCATGCTCTGGTTGGATATTATATTTCTATTTATATATATATATATATATGTATGTATGTATGTATATATATAATATATATAAATATATTTAAACAAACCACACACACACACAATACATTCCTTACATTTGTATGGTCCCAGATTCCTATTAAAAAGAGAGATATTAAAAGGAATCTGGGACCATACAAATACAAGGAATGTATTTTGTGAGTGTGTGTATATACATATATATATATACACACATATATATAAATCTTTCCCCATATAATCCATATATTATATAATAGTATATATCTTAATAAATATCTGATATATATATTCCACACATTGTGGAATTTTTGTACAAAGAAAATGTACATTCCTTACATTTGTATGGTCCCAGATTCCTTTTAATATCTCTCTTTTTAATAGGAATCTGGGACCATACACATGTAAGGAATGTACATTTTCTTTGTACAAAATTCCACAATGTGTCCATATAAATATTACTATTGGCTGGTTTGTGGAAACAAATAGCTAGATAGATAGATAGATAGATAGATAGATAGATAAAACAGGATGTTATAGCCCAAAGTAAAAGCAAATGAGAGACAGCCCAAGCAGAGAAGGAGACTGCACACTGAAATGGACCCAGAAGGACCATGTAGGGAAGTCTCAGGGAGTCAGGATTTCAGCACGGGTACCCCCCAAAACTAAGAGTGGGAGCTGAGGTTGGGGAAGACCTCAGAGCTGTGAGTTCCCTCCTAGAACAAAATGGACAGAGTCTCCGTCTCATCCAGCACCTTCCACAAAATGAACAAGCACAACTGCTCAGGGCAAAAGGGGCCACATTATTTAGGGTACATCTCCATGGTGCCCCCACACTTCTGGGAAGTGTTGCTTTCAAGCCCTCATTCCCACTCGCACACTCCAAACCCAGAACAAGGCCATGCGGTGGGTGGAGGGTGCCCCTAGCACGGCTTCCCCACCTCATTTCTAGGTTGGGCACATCAAGTGAGAGGAGGTGGGAGGACATGCTGAAAAGAGAAGGTCTCAGGAGCACCGGGGATGGGGTAGCTCCAACCAGTGAGAACTCTTTGTGAGCTAAATGGACATTCAGGGATATGAATTTTAGGGTTAGGCATGCTCTATGTCAAGGCAAATGTAAGAGCAATACACCCTTTGATACATGTTCTTGGAGCTTTCAGTGTTAGTAGAAATGTGTGGACAGGGCAGAGTGGCTTTTGTACAGAACAGGGCTTTGATGACCACATTTTTAAAGCTGAAAGCTTCTCACGGGGGTTCTTCTTCCTTCTGTATGAGACAAGAGCTCCACCAGAAACCCTATGTGAGACTCTCCTCGCAGGGATCTCCCCACTCTGCGTTTCAAGAACAAAATGAATGCTTCATTCACATAAAATCAGTCAAGCTATAGCAAAGCAAAAGAAATGAGTGTGCCGTAAGCGAACAGAAGTCATGGGAACAGGGTCTAAAAAGATGCTTGTTTTATTCCAATTGGATTTTAGAGCCACCAACCAGAAAAAAGACTTCCTCATACTGTGCTTGGACTGCACTCATCCTCTACCAGCTTTTGTTAACCGCAGGCCTAGGACTGTTGGCATATAAAGGTAATTGCAACGATCATTTGTCGTAACCTAGAAATCAGGGCACTGTGGGTGATGGGACTGCAGAAACACACTGTAGTAGGTACAGAGTGGCAAAGTACTATAGAGGGCCGCACACTGTGTTGGTTATGTGGGTTGCACCTTGCACACACTCAGTGCTCTTTGCATCCTCCGTCCCTCTCTGCAGTATCTCCGTGTGTCCCATTCCACCTCTATTTCAGGGAGTCTCTGCAGCACCCTCACGCTTTCCCTCATGCCAGGAACTGTGTCCCGCTTCCCCCAACATTTGCCCATCTACCAAGGTCTCCCCCAAGCCACAAGCTCCATATGTTCCCCATGCCACTGCTCCCTGCACCCCTCCAGAGTCCACGTGCCCCTCTACCCTCCTGCCCCCACTTTTCTTATTTTCTTTCTCTCTTCAAGCTCTTCATTTCATTCCACCAGTTAAGACACCATGTTGATCAGGGATAAATAGGCAGGCAGAAGGGGCATCTCCAAGAGCAATAAATAGTGCTCCTAGAAGGGAGCTCACTCCTCCCGGACTGACTCTAAGGGGAGAGTCTGCTGCAAGCTGGAGGGCTTTGTGCATGCTTATTTCTCATGGGAGGAAGCTGAGCTGAGCCCTTTCAGAAGAAGGGCAGAGAGACAGCTCAAAGTGCACTCATCTGCAGTTCCTCAGGGGAACTTTCCGAATGCGAGCGAAGGATCCCGCATGCTCTGAGAGTAGGAAACAGTCTGTCTTCTTCCAGATAGGCATTTGACACGATACACTCCTATCTGGTCATATACATAAAGTCCTTGTGTACTTTTAAACTTTATAAACTTAGGTTGTAGGTATGATTGAAACAATCTGTAAACAGCATTTAAAAGCAAATGTTTTAGGACAACTGGAGTACACAATGCTAGACTTCATAAGTAATAACAAATTGGCAGGGGTCATTGCGGGGCCGCTGGCACAGCTTTATGAGCGCTCGTGGTGCTCTGGCCAGGTGCTAGTTGACTGGAAGAAAGTCAGCGTGGTCCCCATCTTTAAAAAAGGGAAGAGGGAGGACCCGGGCAACTGTAGGCCCAGTAGTCTTACTTCAATCCTGGGGAAACTCTTTGAGAAGATCATCAAGTAGCACATCTATGATGGGCCAGCAGCAGGGATGATGCTCAAGGGCAACCAGTACAGTTTCATTAGGGGCAGGTCCTGTCAGACCAACCTGATTGCCTTCTACGATCAGGTCACAAAAGCATTGGATGCAGGTATCACCGTGGACGTAGTCTTTCTGGACTTCAGCAAGGCCTTTGACACTGTCTCCCACCCCATCCTCATTAAAAAACTAGGTGACTGTGGCATTGATGCCTACACGGTCAGATGGACTGCAAATTGGCTGAAGGGTCGTACTCAGAGGGTGGTGGTAGACGGGTCATATTCGACCTGGGGGGCAGTGGGTAGTGGAGTCCCCCAGGGCTCGGTCCTTGGGCCTGCGCTGTTCAATTTCTTCATTAGTGACTTGAACGATGGGGTGAAAAGCAGCCTGTTCAAATTCGCTGACAACACCAAGATTTGGGGTGAGGTGGGCACACTAGTAGGGAAGGACAGATTACAGCAGGACCTGGACAGGTTACAGGGGTGGGCTAACGAAAATAGGATGGGCTTCAATACTGACAAGTGCAGGGTGCTGCACTTGGGCAGTTGTACCTTGCCGTGCATCTACAGATGCATCTCAAGCAGTTCCAAGGAGGTGATCCTCCCCCTCTACGCAACACTGGTCAGGCCGCAGTTGGAGTACTGTGTCCAGTTCTGGGTGCCGCGCTTCAGGAGGGATGTGGATAGCATCAAGAGGGTACAGAGGAGGGCCACTCGCATGATCCGGGGACAGCAGGGCAGACCCTACAATGAGAGGCTACGGGACCTTAACCTGTTCAGCCTTCACAAGAGAAGGCTGAGGGGGGACCTTGTGACTGTCTATAAACTCACTAGGGGGGACCAGCAGGGTTTGGGAGAGACCTTGTTCCCCCGAGCGCCCCCCGGGGTAACAAGGAATAACGGCCGCAAATTGTTAGAGCGTAGGTTTAGACTAGACATCCGAAGGCACTACTTCACAGTCAGGGCGGCTAGGATCTGGAACCAATTTGCAAGGGAAGTGGTGCTGGCTTCAACCCTGGGGGTCTTTAAGAGGAGGCTTGACATCTACCTGGCTGGGGTCATTTGAGCCCGGTTTTCTCTCCTGCCCAGGGCAGGGGGTTGGATCAGATGATCTACAAGGTCACTTCCGACCCCACTTCTATGAATCTATGAATCTATTAAATTTATTCTTAAATAAGATGGAGCTCCGTGCCGCTATGCTCTGAATATATGACAGTTCCTAAATGACGTTTTCCCAGAGAAGTGGATAGGCAGAGGTGGACCAATTGCTTGGCCACCTCCTTCACCTGACCTGTCGTTGTTGGACTTCTTTTTATGGGGACATGTTAAAGTGTAGTTTATTTGTCAAAACCATGTTCTTTGGTGGAACATAGGGCTAGGATCATCACTGCAATTAGTGCAGTAACTCAAGAGCAACTGGGAAACGTTTTCGAGGAGTTGGAAGATCGGATTGAGCGCTGTATCATGATGGATGGTGGTTATGTTGAAGTCTAGCACTGTGTACTCTAATTGTCCTAAAACTTAAATATATTTGCTTTTAAATGCCTTTTACAGATTGTTTCTATCATACCTACAGCGTAAATTATTAAAGTTTAAAAGTGTACAAGGACTTTATGAAGACCCTGTATATCTGATCATACCCAATCCAAGAGTGATAAGCATGCTATAAATGCCCATGTAAATAGACTGGAGAGTCCTGAAACAGTAAAACTCTCCCCATCCTAAAGGAAAGAAGTGCATTTCTCACAGGAAGCTCAATGTTATTCAATAGAAGAGAACTGACCGGCATAGGAAGAATTTCCTAGATAACCAGGGAGTGGCTCTTTATGCTGAATTGTTTCATTTCCACAGTGTTTAAAATGGAGGAGGGTTTGCATAAACCTCCAGAAGAAGACTACTCATATTTGTCAGAGCATCTAGCCAGCCCTTCCCACAACGAAACATTCCTGGAGGGGAAATCTGATTCCCGGTACCTCAAAAGGGAAAACAAATTAATCTACAGTTTAGCCAAAGAAATCAACATCATTAAAGTCAACAATCAAAACTTAATGATGAAGATGGGCAATATCACACGGATTGCAGGTATTGCTTCTCTTCTCCTTCTCTTTTTTTCAGTGGTTTGTGGTGCAAAGCTCAGTGCAAAGCAGTACAACAGGTAGAGATTTCCATCACTGGGAAATGCACAACTCAGCAATTACCTCCCAGAAGACTTTCAGGAGTTGATTGGATGGGTCAGATTTGCAGCTGGTAAAAATGAGGGTCACAGTGGTAACGTGAATTTATCATCATCATCAGTCCCTCAGGTGCAATAGATTCATAGAGTCATAGATGTTAGGGTTGGAAGGGACCTCAATAGATCATCGAGTCCGACCCCCTGCATAGGCAGGAAAGAGGACAGGGTACTAAACACCGTACTAATACAGACAAGCAGACTTCTCCCAAGAATGCCTGGTGCACTGCGGACCTGCACCAGCAAAGGAATTGGCCCCAAGAGCTCTGCTTTGCCCAGAGAAATGCTGTGCAAGTCCTTTCACCTCTGCATCATTCAAACCCTGCCAGGATCACCTGTGACCTCAACCAGTGAGAAGGTGGCTTATGATGACGTGAAAGGTGACCACATCCCAAGAGACTGTGACAACAGCTGGGGGTTGCTAGGACACAGAAGTGCTATGAGCATGTCCTCTTTGTCCTGAGTACCCACCAGGTATGGAGGAGGGGTTGTAGTCATGGTGGTGACTCTGTGCCTCCAAGAATACCTCAAAGCAGGGGAAAGCCTACAGCTATACTGCATCACAGGCTGCCTTGTGCACTGGAAAGCAGCCTACATGCATGGCCAGCAAATCTGATCCCCAGAGGCCACATCCATCCTTGGTGCTTGTAATAATTATTGCCTATATAAAGCACCACAAATAAACACGTTGCAAAACAAGCCCTAGAACAAAGCATTCAGGAAGGGTGGGCCTGGGATCAGCATGCTAATGTAGTGCTTGAAAGATCTTGGCCCAATTCCCTGCTCTGCTACACATTACCTGAGTGACCTTGGTCGCATCACTTAGTCTCCCTGCCTCAGGTCTTCATCTGCACCTACCTATGTTGAAGACTAGGGTACTATTTACTATAGGAGTACCACGGATGGTGCAGAGTCAGGCTAATGAACAAGCCATGCCAGATTTAATTGCTTCCTTTTCTACTAGCTAATAGTGTGCAAACGGATGTTAACTCAGGGCTGTCCTACTTCTAACCAGCCAGGCTGCAGGCTATGCGAGTGCCTCACTACTGCACCACTCTCATGGTCACCCTGGCCTCAACCTCAGCTCCCCAACCATGGTCACACTGCCATGCTCCCCCCGGGTACCCCAAGACATGCATTCCTCAGGCACCACAGTCTGCCCCGTGCTGCACCCACACTGGCCCTGAGGCAGGAAGTGGAAGCTGGGGGAACCCAGAGACTGCCAGCTGCTGCTGCAGCTGGAGCAATGGGAGGGAGTGGCAGCTCTGTGGAAGCCTGAGGGCTATACATTGGTGTGCTTCATGTTAAATCATCATTCCTGAGTGTCAGGAGAAGGCAAGGACTTTGAGTATAACACTGTTTAGGTACTGAGGTGGTGCGCTCTTCTACCTGCCTACTCCATAGAATGGACACAGGAGCACAAGCTCCAAACCCCCTTCCTGCTCTCACTTCTCTGCTGGGCATGGAGCGGTTCCCAGCACCCGCTTCCCACCAGCCAACGCACTCTGTAACTTTGCTCAGGCCTCTCCAGCATGATCATTCCTCCAGTAGCCAAGGTGATGTTTCCAACTCGCAGATTAATTCTATTAGCTGCAGGTTTGCATACTATGAAATCATTTGGAATCAATTATTAAACACTGATCATTTAAAAATATATATTAAATATCCATTTCAGGGCCACCTGGGAGCAAAGGAAATCCGGGTCCTCCAGGTAGGAACATATTTGAGCAATAAGCAACTCCCCTGTGCTCTCCTCCTCCCTCCCTCCCACTTCACTGTGAAGAATCTGGAATTAGATTTTGTAACCATATTTAATGACTGATCCTGCAAAATCATAAGGACCTGCTGGATTTTATCCAAGAGCCTTGGATCCCCTCTTGCTTGGCCTGCTAGTAGTTTGACTTTGATGCACCATATGGAGTTTTCCCACTGGATACTCCCCACCAAGAGCAACCGGGTGGGGAGCAGTTAGGAGCTGGTAGCACCCCAACTCCATCCCCTCTGCTCACACCCCAGAAGGTCCATTCACAATGTGCGGAACAAGTTGCACCTTCTCTGGGCCTGTAGCAGACTGCTTCCCTCTCCCTACCTGAACCAGGATAGGAACTGGTCAGGAGCTGTGATGTGCCCATAGAAGAGCAGTCACATGCTACTTCTCAATTAGGGTTGAACCTAGAGGAGCCATCTCAGCTGGGCCCATTAGCTTCATCAGGAGTTTCAAGCACTCAACCATGCTGAGGACTGGGCTCTAAAATTTCCCTTATATTCAGGTTGTTTTCCACAGGCTAACTTGGATGGAGTTTTAAAGTAATACCCTGCTTTTTCTATAGTAATGGTAACTGCACCCTTCTCAATTCCCCAAGACCGACACCCAAAAATTTTATGCCAAAATTTTGTGCATGACAGGAGCAATGTTTCTCCATGATATTCTCTCAGTCTATCAGAAACGATGGCTTTTCTTCCATTCAATCCAGGTGCCATAGGGGAAAGAGGACTTCAAGGTGAAAAAGGGAATTCAGGTCAGTGTCCAAGTGTGTCCCCCTCCCTTTCTCCACTCTATGATCCGTCAAGTGCATTGGCTCTGCAGTGAAGAATACATGAGGCCAGGACCTTGCTTGGTGTAAATCAGCAGTATGTAATATACAGTCAGTGAAGTTACCTTGGTTTACACCAGTGAGACTCTAGCCCATGGTATGCATTGGAATGTGACGAAATCCCAGTCCCATTCAAATCAAAAGCAGCCTGTATTTGGCCCGAAGCTTTGTATTTCCACTTGGCAAACCCACTTCTAGGTCAGAAGGGAGACATCGGCCATCAAGGACCATCTGGAAGCAAAGGAGAACCCGGGCCAAAGGGTAAGCAAGGAACCGCTGCATTTCAGGAGGGGAGGACCTATTTCATACTGGAGCAAAGCAGAGCAACATAAGAATAACTCTCTTCTATTGTAGGTGATGGACTTCCTGGGGCAAAAGGAGAGAAAGGTAAGGCATGGAGGGGAACAATCTTGCATTATAATATCAGTGATCAGAAGGAGGGCTCAGTGGTTCAAGCACTAACTAGGGTTTAGGAAAAGAGGGTTCAGTTCTCTGCTCTGCCACAGACTTCTTGCTTGACTTCAGTCCAGCCACTTAGCTTCTCTAGGCACGTTCAGTATGCACAAGCACACGTGCAGTATGCACACTGCACACACGGCACATGCAGGCATTCCCTGAGCTGCTAATTTGCAGTGCAGGGTTGGGGGGAGGGTTTGACACTGGCAGATCCTGGTGTCAAAAAAACCCACACTAGAATAAAGTAGCATGGTGCACGTGGAGGCAGCATTCACTGCCTGAAACCAGAGCCTGGCCAGCTGGAGCCATACTCCAGATGCTAGCCAAACTCCCTGCTGCAAGATCATCACCACTGGAGCCCCAGGAGGCTCCCAGGACCCCATGTAAGGTTGCTAGAGTCAGCCCAGGTACTGGCCCCAGCCTCCCCTACCCCACCCGGGGCAACTTGCCGCATGCCAGAGCATGCACGCACGGGTGTTCGCCAGGGACAAATTGTGGTGGCACAACTATGTGCTGCTGCTATTTGTCCCCGGGGATATGCACATGCATGCTTGTCTGGATGCAGCCTCTGTGTCCAAAGGGCTGTAGTGATGTACATACCCTACCACTTTCTGTGAGCCAATACAGCAACAGGGACCATGTGCATATTTCAGGTATAAAAAGGCCCCAGTTTTCAGAGATTTCTCAGCGCTTTAATTTCAATGCCTACAAATAGCCTGGGGTGCCCAATTTTATGCATGTGGATTTGAAGGGTTTTGGCCATTGTTTTGAACCTGCCTTAACACATCCCACTGCACAGCTTGGAGAGCCCCTACCGTCCACCTCTATTTCACTCCAATCACTTCTAGGTAAAGTCTAATATGATTTTGCAGCTGCATGTTTGTAACTGGCCAGTACTCAGCTCTGCCAGGGAAAGGAAGATGTGGTTTTGTTCTTCACCAAAAAATGAATGTCATTGCTTTATTGCTCCCCAATGCACTTTCAACATCAACCAGGAGAAAAAGGTGTCACAGGATCTTCTGGCCCAGCTCTGAAAGGGGAACCGGGTTCACCTGGACAACATGGAATACCAGGTAGCTATCTACCAGCCTTTCCCTATCTGTATAAATGTTGTGCTGCTTAATACTCAGACCACATCTTGCCTTCTATATTTTAGGCATACCAGGAAACACAGGTCCTCCAGGTGAAAAAGGAAACAAAGGAGAAACAGGTAATGAAGGATGAGTAGCAGCACCTCCTGTAAGATAATATAGGTAAAGACCTGATGGCACAAAGCTCAGTTAAACCAAGCGAGGTAGGAGAGAGCTGCATGCTTCCCATGGGGGTTTATAGGCTCGGTGCAGTAAAAGGAGAGTGCAAACAGAACACTGTTTCTCAGAGATGAGAGTCCTACCATAAGAGCCAGGCTGATACAGTACGATTATATCCATCACTTTCTTGTAAGACCCATACTAAAATGAGGATGTAACCAGAAGTTGTCTAGTCCAGATTTCCTGGTTTTGGGGAACCAGCGTTCGGACCAAATTCTGACCTCATTGACACTGGACTAAATTGGGAACGCACTATGCCGGATTCCTAATTTTCCACTGGTAAAAATAAGAAATGTCCTTTCCTTAGGACTAAATTCTGGAAGCTTTGTTTAACCCAAAAGAGCTGGGCTAATGCATTGTATGAAAGGAATACCCCCACCACTCACAATGTTGTACCCACCTGGCTGCTAATTTCCTTCTCGGTTTAGGGCAACGACAGACACCGAGTCCGTCAGGTCCTTTCCCTTCTTTCCCTCGGTGTCTCCTAGCGTGCACATCAAGAACCCACGTGTTCTCTGACTCCAACCCCCAGCACCGATCTCCAAACCTTTCTGCAGCGTGAGGACACCAGTTTCATACATAAGAGCCCTCACAGCTAGTCAGGAGGCGGCAAGATTTGGTCCTTTGTCATGTAAAACCTGCTGCCCCTCTCTCTCTCCCATCTGTGGTTCTTGGCTACATTTATGCTAAGCAAGCTTTCTAAAAATCATCCATTCATTATCTTTCCTGTTGCACAGCAGGATGCACAACAAAGAAATATAACCTCGGGCCAAGCCCTGTGGTTCATTTCATGTGTATTATAATCCTATAGCTGAGGGCTGTTCCAAGAAAAATCCCCACTGCGTGAATAAGGACAGCAGGATTTGGCTCACAGACATTTGGCCAGATCCTCAGCTAGTGTAAACCGGCATAACTCCATTTGACTTCAGTTTAGGGGATCTGCCTGTTTACACCAGTGATCTGATTGGTCCATTTTTATTGTTTATTACACTTACTAATATATATCTGTTGGGATTTCAGGAATACAAGGACCTAAGGGGGCACAGGGAAGCCAAGGTGTCCAAGGTAATGCTTTCCTTCTGTAATATAATTTCCTTGGGGGCATACAGTAAGACTTCTGATTTTGCTCTCAGTCACTTGTGTAAATCGGGAGTCGCACTACTGAAGTTACCAGAGAAACCTATATAAAACATCGTAAATGAGACCAGGCAGGATGTTCTATTTGATTGCACATCCTTAGGGTCAGTGATATCAGTGACCCACATCTAGTTCAAGCATAACTGAATTGGTCTAATTGGAGTCACTGTGGTTTCACCCCAAGAGCAGAATGTACTTGTACGTTGCTCTGCATCGCAGGTGGGAACGGTCCTCTGACACGGTATTGGATCCAGCATGGCATCTGAAGTCTGATATTTTCCATCCAGGTTTAAATGGATCTCCGGGTGAAAAGGGAACCAAAGGAGATGCTGGCTTTGCCGGGGCAAAAGGTGAACAAGGCGTGAGAGGAGATAAAGGAGACATGGGCCCCGCAGGTAAGATTATGTATGTGATTACTGTTCTCCAGATAATTTTAACCAACTTTCCTGCTTTGCCAGTGAGCCTGTTCTGTCTACTGTAAAATGCACTCTCTCTAGACAAGTGGTTTGCTTTAGCTCTGAACAAGGGGTTACTTCTCCATAAAGGAACGGGATGAATAAGGTAATTTGTCTTATTTGAGGGATTCCATTTTGTGTCTTGCTCCAGGGAGGGTGGCTCCTCCAAAAATGCTGACTCCACACCATAAGTTTTAATAGTCTCTTTTGGAGAGAGGTGCGTGTAATGAAAACAGCAGGTATTTAATTATCGGCATATCCCTGATCCTAACGTTCGTGTTTATAGCAGGATTTATAGGGTATAAACTAATGTAATATAATTTATATGCACAGGCATGTGTATATTTGGTTAGTTCTAGTGGTAGTAAAGCCTGTTTCTGAGTGGTTTATATCCCTTTTAAGCCAGAATTTTGTGTAAATTAAACAGAAGAATTATGCAGCATGTCTCTCTTGCGTAACTTGCATTAGATTGGTATTCGCCACCCTGGTCCGAGATGTGGATAGGGAGAACAAAGTGAAGAGAGGATAGAGAGGAAACACAAAGGAGATCAAGGGCACAAATGAGTGCAGAATTGTGAATTCTGCAAAACAGAGTTGCAGTCACTTTTGAACTATTGTATAGCCCCACTTTCACTGTCTATCCTGAGCCTCTTGGTTGCCGATTGAAGATGCCGGAGATCTATAAATGCAGAAATCAAACTAAACCCTGATCCCACTGAGGCCAAAGATAGATCCACTAAGCCCAGTAAGATCAAAAAATGAATCAGTAACTCTATCTATTCTACTGTTCAACAGGTCCACAAGGAAGGAAAGGTGAAATGGGTGAGAAGGGAGACATGGGGCCAAGTGGACCAATTGGTGCTCCTGGAAGCAAGGGAAACCCAGGCCAGCCAGGCTCCAGTGGTATGTGAGCAGGGCAAAATGCCCAATGTGGAGGGTGGGGGAGCAGGGTGGTGGGACTGCTAGTGGGGAGGGGAGATGCCATGTCTCACAACTGGTACAGGTCTCGCTGGCACTAACATTCATGTTGTATTGAAGGCGGCGCAGGAACACAGGGCCTTCCTGGACAGAAGGGAGAGGCAGGTAGGTTGTGCAAGCAAAAATGGCTCTTCCTGTGTGTATAAACCTGACGTCTGTTAAAGGCCTGTTTAATGAAAAAGAAATCATTTGCTGCTGTAAATGGGCTAAGCCAATCCACTTCAATAGAGCTATGCTGATTTACAGCACAGGTCAACCAGCCCTTAAAGTTTAATTTAAATGAAAAAACCCATCAGCGAGGAAACCTCATTTATCCCAATCCCCAAGGAAGAGTATCAGGAAAAGTGACAGTCTTATTCTCTCTTTTCTCCCTTGACCCTCCATCCCCTCCCCACAGCTGATGTGCTGGTTACAGATCCTAGCCTTGACTCTCCTCTTGCAAACTATCTGCTGGGTAGTTCCACTGAATCCAGTGCGGCTGCATTTCAGTAAATAAGGAGGAAAAGGAAGGATCTTTATTCTATATAGTAACAGATTTCAGAGGCAGGAGACCCCTGAAGTCCTCCATAATATAAGCTATAACATTTCATCCAGTAAGTCCCTGTGTAAGTCTTGATGTACCCTTGTGTGATACCAGTTTCACTCCACTAAAGAAGCAGCAGCATGAAACTGAAATAACACCGTGTTGAACCAAAGGCCCCTTTTTTCAAATTCTAAATTCATTTCTTCTTTCATAGATTTCATAGACATTAGGTCTGGAAGGGACCTTGCAAGATCATCAAGTCCAGCCCCCTGCCCCAGGGGCAGGAAGTCAGCTGGGGTCAAACGATCTCAGCAAGATAAGCATCCAAATGTTTCTTAAAAGAGTCCAGAGTAGGTGCTTGCACCGCCTCTCGGGGGAGTCTCTTCTGGGCCTTGGGGGCTCAGACAGTAAAGAAGTTTTTCTTTATGTCCAGCCTAAAACGGTCGTGGAGGAGTTTGTGACCGTTTGACCTTGTCATCCCTTGGGGCACTCTGGTGAACAGACTTTCCCCCAGATCCTGATATACACCCCTATATACATATATAAATTTCTGGCCTGGCTGGTTCATTTTGTCATTGAGATATGGAAGTCCCTCTCTGATTTTGCTAAGAATCAGTTTTATGCCAGTTTAACTTCATGAACTTCCTTGGATTTGCTCCTGATTTAGTTTAGTGGAAGTGAAAGGCATGCTGGGCTGGTCACACCTGGAAATACTGAAGTTTGTGTAGTTGTTTCCAGTCTATGAACATTTCCCCTGTGGTTGCTTATAGATGGAGTGTTTTCATGCTGTTATGGAAGCTGCAATGCCATTTTCTCTCTAGGATTTGGGAACTATGCAGTAGAATTATTTCACGTATAAAATTTTGTGAGATGGCCCAGACAATCTATAAAAAAAGATGTCTTCTTCTATTAACAACTGTAGGCTTACTAATTTCTAAATAAACCTATGAAATTTCCATAGAAGCCTACTAGCCTCATTCCAGTTACATTTTAAAGGATACTTCCACAAGGAACTACTCAAATTGGTGTGCAAATTCGTTGTTCATAGCTAACAGCTGGTCTATTCCTGCCATGGAGTGAGTCTATGTCAATGGTGCATGAAAAAGGGTGTGAGGGTTGGGGAGGATACCGGTCATTAAGGTGGCTGTGGTATAGTAGACACGGCCAAATTTAGCTATAAGTTAGCTAGCTCAGGTACCAGTAGCAGGACAGCCATGCCAGCACAGAATTTATCACGGGCTACACAATGCTTCAGAGAAGCTGGTTCACATGCTGGTGGCCGGTTCATGCTGAGCTCTGTGATTAGACTAATACCAGTACCTAACCAGCTATAACTACAGAAGAAACTGCAGTGTAGACATACCTTGGGAGCAGGTATCTCCTACTTTCACATATATACCCCAGTCCCATTACAGGTCATGTGAATCATGTGCATGCAAAAAAGGGCAGAATTCAGCCTAGATTCTGTAGGGCTCTGTAGGATCCCCAAAGTAGAAATGATCTGCAGGCTGGATGCCCTGCAGCCTTGCCTGTAGTGGGATTATTTCCCCTGAGCAGGTGAGGATTCTGGGTTGGAAGCAATGGACCTTATTTTGCCTTCATGCTGCATAGGGGTAAACTTGGATCAGCAGAGAAGCAACCTGAGATACTGCAGATCACTTTGATTCTTCTCCTTTAAATTTACCATTTTTGGTGCTGTTCTTCAACTTTAAGGTTTAAAAGGAGAGTCTGGCTCACCAGGACGTCCTGGTTTGGATGGAGCACATGGCCAGAAGGGGGAGAAAGGACAACCTGGGCTCCCTGGACTACCAGGTACACACAGCTGTCAACCATTGTAATCCAGTATTATCAAAATAAGTCCTTATTATGTTTCTAATCTAGACAGACAGGAGCAAAAGGAGAAACAGGAGACAATGGAATAGCATGTAAAGGGAGAATCAAACTAGTTCAGCAACAGCAACACAGAAGGAGATTTGCTGGAAGGAGTCATGGGTCACCGAGAGGTGCCCCCGTGCTGTGGCATGCACCGAACTCTCCCAGGCAGCCTTGAAGAAAGTTCATTTACTGATGTGGCTCTGGCAAGGACCTTTTGAGTGTCTAGAAAGGTGTCCTGTTTAGCATTGTTATAAAGCATAAAAAGACCTCTGAGTAATCCTTTAAGATTATTGGAAAGAACAATGAATTTCCCCAGACATGTTTCCATGCAATGCACTCTGGTGATGTTGGCATGTCATGAATGGAAAGTTTGCTTTGCTTGCTTGCTTGATTTATCTATTTATTTTTGGGCCAAACTAGCTAAGTTAGTTTTTACCTTTTATATACCGTATGCCTTTTCCATAATTCATTCACTGGCATGCCTTCCCTTCTGAGACAATTGAAAATTGATTAGACAATAGATATTCTAATCTATTTATTATTCTAACCTATTTATTCTAATCTGGGATTTAACTAGTAATTTATTTTGGTTTTGATGATTCTAGGCCCTCTAGGACCAAAAGGAACAAAGGGAGATCATGGCATTCAAGGTAAAGCACTTCGCCTACTGAGCAATTGGTTATTTACTCGGTCAAGGACTGTAGATGGACTATTTTGCTGTTTTCTTAAGGCAAGCATGCTCTTTTCTTTGGAGCCAAAGAAAGATATTCACTCCCCAGTATTTTTCACCTAGGTTTGAAGGGAATCAGTGGTGAAAAAGGAAGTCAAGGGAGTGTTGGAAGTCCTGGCCCAAAAGGTGAACCAGGAATTAAAGGATCCAAAGGAGACACTGGACGCACTGGTAAGACTGGTTGCCATGGCTTCTGATGAGCCGGTGGTATGTTTTGCATTTTGTACACGTGGGTATAACAGCGGGACACAGACTGGTCTCTGATTCAGCTTCATGCTTGCCTTCCATTATGAATATGATCCACCACCAACTTACCCCAAACAAACCCAAGCCACTTAAAACTGTTGATGCTACCTCCCATGCTCAAGATAGCAATGCATCAAACTAAACACAAAGAAAAATCTCATCCCAGTTTATATCCCTGCTCGCAAATTGTAAGACTAGATTTTTTTTTAAGATATGACTATGTCATCTCTACCCTCACTACTGCACATCACACAAATAAAACATGAAAACTGTGAACCTAAATCATTACGATTCCCTAATTTTAGTAACAATAACTGTTTACAGCAATCATTCTCATTATCCATTTTTTGTGACCATCAGCATTCAAACCTTAGCTTTACTCCCATAAAATTCTTCTTCATTTGCTTTAAAAATATAACAGCTCATATTAAGTGGCACGTACTAGGTTCTTTGGCCTGCTCCACATATAAGCCTTTTCTTGTAATGAAGGCAAAAGTGACAACTTTAAACTTAAAAAAGAGCTTGAATGGTAGAAACAAAAGACAGAATTGTTCTACTGGGCAGAAAAAATGTACTGATAAATGGAAAAATGACTCAGAGCAACTTGTAGCCAACTGTGGCCATACCAGGATCACAGGAGCAGTATTTTGTCCATAATGCTGAATTCTTAAGCAATTTTCTACAGTGCTCTAAAGTAGACACAACAGCTTTCCTTTTACCATCACTCATCTCTGCCTCCTTCTTTCATAAAGTTGCCTCTTAAAGGAGAATATTTTAGTGCAGCCATTACAAGGAAAATTTCACTTGCTGCTTGCGTCTGAGTCCATATATTTCTTCCAGACACTACATTAAGGCAATGATGCAGCACAGGAACCTATTTCACACATCTTTTTCTGTCTTCAGATAACCAGCAACAAACTGAGGAGGAGTGCCGTGCCAGGCTGCTTTGTCTGCCTAGGTCACTCTTCCATGTTTGCTAACAGAAGGACATGGACTGGTCCAAGGCAGGCAAGGACTTGGGAGAGTCTCAGTTCACACCCCTCAGGTCACCAGCAAGTTGGCACAAAGAAACAGAAGACACTGCACAGTGGTCACATCTACTGTAGACTATCTAGACTAGACTAGCTCCACAGTAATCGGTTTGATTTGAAACTGCTGTTCCATTTCGTTTTGTTGATGCTGTTTCGACGTTTTGCCCATAGGCTATAATGGGGACGTTCAAAACAGCCTCCGTCATCCAGCAGGCAGATCGGGGGCCCGCAACCCCGGGAGGGCTGCGGGGGCTGTGCCAGTCCTCCTGGGGTTGTGGCCTCTGATCTGCCTGCCAGAAGAGGGAGGGAAGCTGGGTGCTGCCGCCTGGGACCGGGGTCCTGGGGAAGGGAACTGAGCCCAATTGCTCAATCTTCATCCTGCCTGGGATCAATTGGGCTGGGGAAGGGAACTGAGCCAGATTACTCAGCTCCTCTCCCCAGCGCCATGATCAGTCTGGGGAAAGGAACTCAGCTCAGCTGGGCTCAGTCCCTTTCCCCATCCAGATTGTAGTGCTGGGGAGGGGAGCTCAGCTCAGCTGGGCTGAGTTGCCTTCCCCAGCTCGATCGTAGGGCTGGGGAGGGGAACTGAACCTGGGCTCAGTTCCCTTCCCCTGTGCTGCTATCAGCTTCCCGCAGCTGGGCCATGGGAGGCGGGGAGAGCCAGGGCTGCGCTCCCCGCCTGGCTGAGCCACATGGGGCTACGGAGCTCCTGGGAGCGCAGCCCTAGTTCTCCCCTTTCTCCCACCACCTGGCTGCTTCGAAACTCGAAATGTTTCGAAACATTTCGACTAGCCTCGTTTTGTTTCAAGGCTGTTTCAAAGCCCTTCGTTTCGTTTCAATTTTGCTGTTTCGAGCTCAAAATGAGTCAAAACAGCGTCAAAATGAAACAGCCAGTGAAATTTCTCACAGCCCTACTAATTAATAGTACTATTTACAAGTAGTATCCTGCTGCAGAGTTTTTGACTCCACAGCAATGCATGTGTAGACACTGCCCTGGCTGACTGGGGCAAAGGGTGCTTTAGTGCAGGGATTGCCTGCCAGCTAGTCCCATAGTGGAGTGCCCTCATGCCCCAACCAGCCCCTCCACAGCATGTTGAGCTGGGGGGAAGCAGCTCATTCAAACCGTGCCCTGGGAGCAATAAACTTCAGAGTAATAAACTCCAGATTGTATTACTTTGTATTCGTTGCATGTGTAGACACATCCTGTGTAAAGCAAATTACTCCTCGGGAGCATGTGGGGAGCCTGAAAAGAGTCATGGGCATCTGGGGAGATGAAGTCTGTCTTTCCAGGCTCCCACTTGCTCACAAGGAGTAATTTGCTTTACACAGGATGCTAAGGCAAACATTTTGAGATGATCTAGATTATTTTTTTAAACTACTTTTCCAATCATTTTTAAATATCTACACTCTTCCCTTTTGCTTTACATTTTTAAATACATATGATCTCTCCTTTGGACCCAAGTAGCTCAGCAAAAATGGGGATCTTGCTTGTTGTTGCAGTTTAGAAAGGAAACGGGTCGTGGGGTCAGGTTTTTCTTTGATACAATCCTGTTTATTTACAAAGGCTTGTACAAAGTCGTGTTTCCCCGTGGAAGCAAACAACATGCGACAGTGTCTTTGCTCGGAGCTTCAAGCCTCTTTCTGCCAGTCAGCATTTTGCCTCAAAAAAGCTCTCTCTCAGGGCTTTTCTTAGGGCTGTCCTCTCTCTGTCTGAGGAAACCATGTCCTTGGCTTTTCTCTACTTTCCCTGTGTCTGATCTGGTGGTGTTCCCCCTCTGTCTTATTCACAGGTGTACACACACATGCATACACACACACACACACACACACACACACGTGTGTGTCTACACAAACAATAGCTGGTGAGACACCACTGCCCACATTATTCAGATGTCTCAGTGGCAATGCAGGGATCCCTGCTTTGGGTAAAATGAACCTGTGCTTTTGGTCTGGAAGCAATTCTAGTTTATCATAAACGAGCTTAATTCTTTCTACTGTCTTATGTATGACACCCCCAAGCTTCACAAGGCTCCAATAAAATACATTTCTTTGTGATTTAGTACCAGAAGACCTTTTAATCAGGATAATTCACTGAGGATAGAGTGCCATATAGCATACCCCTGCTTTTTTTAACATGCTGCTATCCTGCCACAAGACATTAACCACATCAGGGATTTCATCCTACAGGGGACTAGGTTTTGCTTGGTTATAGGCTTGTATCTCTTAACTGCACAGCTGTAAGACAAATGATTGTGATTATTACCTTTATCTTGAAATTATGTCAAATGCATTTCTGTTCCTTTAATAATTAAACAGGTCCCCAAGGCCCTAAAGGCGACACCGGTGACAGAGGTAAGGGGTTTCTTTTTCTTGTTCTCCAGCACTACAATTCTACAGTATTAGGTCTAATCTGTATTCCATACATTCATGCTTACCTTAAATATGGGCATAATCTCACTGAAGACAAAAAGGAATTAACCATGGTTTTTAAGTTAACCATATTTGCAAGTGTTTGCAAAATCAGGGGTCTGAACTGAGATGATATTTGCTAGACATAACCTGTTTTCTATGTGGCTGTGTTTATTTGAAGATGAACATTCATCTGCATTATTGAATTCTCTACTTTATGCACTGTTGTCACGTGTTATAATTGGGGTCATTACCCTAACTTTCTAACCCTCCAGGTAGAACCCATTCCACTGTCAGAATCAGTGGAGGAGGTCATCGGGGCCGCGCTGAAATCAACCACAATGGAGAATGGGGAACAATATGCGATGATGACTGGGACATCAAAGATGCAAAAGCGTTCTGCAGAATGCTTGGATATACCACTGCAGCTGCAGCCTTTACTGCAGCTGGAGGTAAGTTAATAATTAATCATGCAAATAGCCAGCTAAATACCTGGCCTTGAAATGCAACCTACATTCAGTCTATATGGAGACCACATGTGCTGGCCTCATGCCATCCACACCTGCCCCAGACAGACCTGGAGATATGGATCTGGAATTAGTTCAGTCCAGAGTATGCCAGTAGGTTGGGACCACTTTTGTTGTACATGATTTTTGCTATTCATAGTAGCAACTCTCATAATTCTTCCCAATGCTAAGCTTGAACAAAATCGGTACACGTTTTCTGTTGGTGAATCCTGACATCTTTGCGCACACATGTGGTGGAGGGCTCTTCAGTCTTGCTGCCTTGAAGAACAACTGTAGACTTTTTCTTATATTCTCTGTCTCTTTACTACTAGGTACTTTCATTTTTCCATTGTCAAAATTCCCACCCAGTTGCCCCAAATAGAAGCAATGGTCCCAGCCCTTCCACTACTAGCAAGGTCCACAGGCATCCTGCTTAAGAGAGTGTAGTATTGAAACCTTTGCTAGGCGATTATTCTAGCCAAGGATGGCAAAAGGTAATGTACTTATAGTAAGTCATATGTGACAACTGGCTATAAGCTATTCAAATATAAGGATGACTAACAGAAGCCAGGTTTCTAGAGATACTGGTTTTACATCCCTTTGACTGACTGAGATTCTATGTTGGTTCACCCAGCTAATTAAAATGGAGACCTTTTCCCTCTTGGTCCCCAAATGTCTCTCACAACCTGAACTCAAACTCTTCCAAAGTTCACAAAAGTTCACTGAACTCTTTCTGGTCACCCCTCTTACAAATATTTTTTTCTGACCCTGCACTTCCTACTTCTAGCCTAAGATCGATGCAGAAGTACTGCAGTAATATTATAAAGGCTTCTCTTCCAAAATTTCCAGCCAGGTTTTGCTAACCTGGCTAAAATATGGAGAGTTTAGTTAAAAGCACCCATCCTAAATCTCGGCATAGTCTTGGCTGTGTCCTTTTATTAATGACAAGTAATTCAATGTAAAGGTGCCCAAAGCCAGGGAAGCAAATCATATCTATATATGTCGCAAAGCATGACAAAAAAGAGACTTCCTGCAACATAGAGAAAATTAAAATCTCCACCTATCAGATCAATGGTTTACCCTCATCCCTGCACTTTCAGCTGCTCATTAGGCATTCCTTTTAGCACCGTCACTGGTAGCAAATGATGGGAGTCTTCCCTGCCCATACGATGACACAAAGGGAAGCGAGAGGTACACAAAGAGGAAGCCACTTCCCCTCTTTGCACTGACTCACCATGGCGGTGGTCTGTACACAGCATTCTCTCCTCCTCCAAAGGGTTACTTGCACTACAGTTCCCAGATCACTGAAGATTGTATCCTCTACCAGACCACTGGTCCCATTCTCCTGGACAAGGAGAAATGGCTGGGGTTGTGGCTGTCCCCAGACAGGACATCCACGTGGTTCAAGATGAGATGTGTGCTGCATTCGGAACTTGGCAGCAGTGAGTTATTTTCTCTTGAGAGCAGGGAGGGAATTCTGACTCGGTCACATTTCCTTTCCAAGACTCTTCCTGCAGCAACCTGGTCCTGCATCTTGGGCAATGCCTTGAAGCTTAGCGTTGTCCTAAGCAAACTGCAGAACTAAAGGACTGTCTCATTCACCATTAAGGCTGTCCCTGGGGGCTGTAGGTTTCTGTCTCCTTCAGCTTATGGCTATTGACTTTTTTATTTTTAACCATGTGTTCCCAACAGGTTCTGGAAAGATTTGGCTCGATAACGTGAACTGTAATGGATCTGAAATCTCTCTATATGACTGCACTAAACCTGCCTGGGGTGAGCACAACTGCAACCATGGTGAGGATGCCGGTGTTGAATGCAACTAAGAGAAGCACTACAAACTGCACTCTGATGGAAACCATCTTTGATGATTTTGTGGCATATCTATTATGGCACATAGTACAGGCTGGAACGTAATTCTTGGACTCTGCATTATATCTTGGCTTCTTTACCTGATAATATTTACCAATGAGGCATGTAATTGTTCCATAAATTGGTAACAACTGCCTGGCCACAAGAGACTCAGCTGCTACAAAAAAAGCAGAGACATCAGGAATAAAATACTCAGCCAGTGCATGTACTTCATAGCTCTCCAAATAACCTGCCTCATACTCCAAAAAGCTCATGTTATTCCAGAAAAGGATGGTCACAAGTTAAAGGCCAAAAATAGGAGTGTAGAGATATACCACTGTCCCCAGGTCTACCAGAAACCTCCTTTGTGACCTCAGGCAAATCATTTAACCCGTCGCTTACTTCCCCAACCTAGTAAAGGAATAGTGGCTCTCTGGAGAGATTACTTTTTATAATATTCAAAAGGACTTCCAGATCTTCAGATATAAGATGCCACCGAGAAATAAAGCAGGTGCATATACTAGCAAGAGTAACACTCAGGCAGCAAGTGGTTAACAATTAAGCTTAAGAACTGCAAATAATTCTCCCATCTGTGTACATAACACACAGCTCCCATCCTTACTGCATGTGTTATACAGAGCCATGGCTGAGACCGCAACTTTTATTTCTGATGACAGCTTTCTCTCAAAGACCTCTATAAATATGAAGCCTAGAACATGTTGGATGGCCAGTGAGTTAAGTACACTGCAGCTTGTTTATAACCACTTTGCTTTAAAGAAAAATAAGTTTTCAAGAAATGCTTTCCTTTGCTTATTGTTAAAACTTGCAAGCATCTTTCTTCTACGCCATAATATGGATTAACATAGAAAGGGAAGCCTCTCCAGGCAGCGTTGTGGAGGTTTGATTACAAAGGCAGCATTGATTCTAAGAAGAGTAAGGGAGAGAACTACATTTTGTAATACTATGTCATATAAATGAAGCTGCTTACACTATTTACAATAAAGGAAATAATGAACAGTATCTGTCTTCTTATTTTAGCAGATACCTACGTGGGCTTTCTCTGATCTTGCTTCTTAATGGGATGTGGGATGGGAGGTCTGTCAAAATTCTCAGGCTAGACTATGAGGTCTTTGCTTAATTTGTACTCAGTCAAAATTTCCATTAAAGACTAAGGTTTGGTACATCTCCCGCAGCAATTCAGAATATTAAAGTTGTCACATCCAACTTTTGAAAGTCATTCAGGAGTATCTGCCTCTGGGGAATGATATCTCCATACTCATCGCCACACTCACACTCACCACCCTCTACACTTCCCACTCACCACTATGAAATCTGCATGTCTTACAGGTTTTTATGATCTAAACATGGCTTACATTGGTTTTTACCTATGCCCAGGCCTTGCTACATGTTTCCGTGTGTAATACCCGTCTGTGAGTCAGAATGATGAGGGCGGCAATCGACTGCTGTGCTGGTGGATATGTCAGAGACCTCTGTTGACACACAATATTTGATGACCCAATGAATCCTGTTGTTGGCAAGAGGCAACAGTAGTTTATTTAAGGGTGGAAGTGATGGAATTCTTCATGAATTTAAGTTTACCTTCCTCTCTTTAAAAACTACATGTGGCTTCTATTTGCACAGTTAGTTCTTGCTTTCCCCAGGTGCTTTTCTAGTTCTTGTTCCTCCAATTCCCATATTTACTTCTTGTTTTCTTCATGCCAGAACTTAAAATGGTTAAAGTTAAGAAAATTCACAGATCTGGACTTCCCACTTTGCAACACATGCCTTACCCAGAGCTCAGCTTGGATTCAAACTTGCACGCAGGCATGCCAAGCAGAAAGCCTGACTGCTAGTTTCACGTCCCACTCAGACTGCAGCTATGTCAGTGAGGGCTGTTAAGACCTGTGAATCTCCACCAAGAAAGCTGAGGCAGCAGAAGTGTAGTATATTGTGGTTATATTGGCAAAAAAAACCCACACCTTTAGTGGTTTCGCTTTGGATGGAGGGATACTATATCAGTGCAAAACACAATGCTGCTGAGGGAGGGAGAGTTGTTATACCAGTACAAAACACTACTTTTCTGGTATAGCTCTATCAACACTAAAAGCACTTGGCTGGTACAGTACACTGATACTTGTATTCCTGCAAAGAATGCCTAAAATCAACCTAGCATCATTTCTCTACCAAGACCTTTCACCTCTAACTTCCAGGGTGCAGAGAAATAATTAAATGGGAATAAATCCTGCCATTTAGACAGGCAGTGAGACCTAGATCTAGGAAACTATAATAACAGTCTTTGCTTTGGACTATGATGAAAAGAACCATTTCTATTCTCCAGCATTCTCCCTTCTTTAGACTTTCTGGCTGAAGGCACAGTTGGTGGTACTTTTAAGACTGAATAACATATAGGAGGAGGAAGAAGAAGAGGAGTTATTTATATTATTGCAGTATCCAGGAATCCTAGCAGCTTTTGATGAATTCTCCCCTTAAAAACAACAGCAAACATGGCAGGTAGCACTTACTGGGCTGAGGTTCTTCTGCTTCCATCACTGCAAGTTTGCTGAGTTTACTACCAAAAAGGTCCTCTGAGGATATTCCTCGAGGGCATCCTGTGAAAGCGCTTGCTCTGCAGCCTGCTCCAGGCTTACTGTGGGCTGAAACAGGCTGATCACAGTCAGAACCCTCCTCCAAAGCCTCCTCCTACTCTTCTTCTCCAATTCATGGGGTCCCACTGTAAAAGAAAAGGGTTGTAAGAGGTGGTCAGTTGAGAGCTTGAGCACTTTGCCATGCTATGCATAGCCAGGGCACACTGCAAGATCTCAGGTTAGTGTCCTTAGCCTTGCCACTGAGTCACTAGGTTAGCTCTTAGTCCTTCCAGTCCTGTGCCTACCCCCAGCTAAGCTGCTTCAAGATGATGTGATGTACATTGCTGTTACTGCACCTGCAATCACAATTCCTGCAATACATGCCCATTTGATATTTGTGTATGCTCACTAGGATGACTAGCTCCATGTTAGGGGCATAGTCTTAGCTTGGGAGAGAGGGAGCTGTTATAGGTTGTGCTGGCAATCCATAAGGAAAATGAGGGGTTTTCCCTCACACAGGGCAATATGAAGTGCCACTTAGTATTTATAGAGTAAAGTGGCAGAGGGGAAGTGTGCAGAAGAGCCAGAAGATTGGGGGATAGGAACTGTGGGAATTCCCCCTGCCTTGCTCCCCTAGCCCCCCCCCCCGCCCGCCCCAGGGCTGCCAGTGAGTCCCAGGGTTTTCTTGGGTTTTTTTTTTCTTAAAGGGCTGGAGCTGGCCAGGTGGGGCACCCGTGGGAAGGGCTGGGGGAGCAGGGGGCTCGTGTAGAGCCCCCCATGCAGCATGGGGCAGTGAGGGGCAGCAGGGATCGCCCCCTGCCCAGCAGCACCCAGTAAGCACCGGGGCTTTTTTTTTAAGTATGGAGCTGGGGTGGGCAGGGGCAGCCATGGGGGGGCTGGGGGATCGGGCAGGGGTTGTACCATGACTAAAGCAGTATAGTGCATGTTGGTGCACCTCGACCCTGACTCATAACTAGTATAATTACAATAAATATTTTATTGGGATTACTGTGCTAGGATAAAATAGAGCGAGCTAGGAAACTAAAGTTTAGTTCCTCAATGTTTTTTAAGTTTTCAAAGTTGTTTCCATCCTAAATCTGGATGAAAGCCCCAAAATCTCAACATTTTGTGCAGAACTGGTTGGCTTCAGAAACTCCAAAACCAAAATGAAAATCAGACCACTCAGTGAAATGCTGGTAGCTAAGGAGGAGCAGGTAGGAAGAGCACTGGTCTGGCAAGTGAGGCATATTTTTAAATTATATAAGTATTCTTTCATTAGAATGATCTGGGATTTTGCTGCCTTTTTTTAACGTGTGTCATTTTATTTCATATATAAGCAGTGGCAATGCGTAGAAGGTGCACAAGGGTGCATGTGCAACCCCTGAGAGCATCAGTGCACTCCCTGATCAGCCACGCTCGCCGCTTAGGCGATGGGCAGAAGCGGCTGCAGCCACTCCCGGAAGTGGTTGCAATGATCAGCCATGGGGGAACTCCCTCTGGGCACTGAGATCTGCCACAGGGGGACACCTCCCGCCAGGCTGCGAGATCAGCTGCAGGGGACCCCCCCACAGGCAGCAAGACGGGTCGTGGCGGGGGCTACCCAGCAGTGCAGTAAATTCGCCTATTATGCCCTAATTGCCACGCATATATAGACAGTGATGCTTTAGTGCACAGCAAATTAGTCTACAGCACAATAAAATGTCTCATGTAGATGCACCCACTGTGTAAAAAAGAAAAAAACGTTGCTAAGACATTCTGCATTACCAGAAAGAAGAGAGGCCAACTCTAATTTCTTCATCAGCGATCTTGATGCTGGGGTGGAAAGCAACCTGTTTAAATTCGCTGATGACACCAAAATTTGGGGGGAGGTGAGCACGCTAGCAGGGAGAGAGAGATTGCAGAAGGATCTGGATAGGTTACAGGGGTGGGCAAACAGGAACAGGATGTGTTTCAATACGGACAAGTGCAGGGTGCTGCACTTGGGTAGTAGGAACCAGCAGCACACTTATACGATGGGGAGCTCCCTACTTGAGAGCACGGAGGCGGAAAGGGATCTTGGTGTCATTATTGACTCCAAGATGAACATGGGCCGACAATGCGAGGTCATGGTTGGCAGGGCTAACCGGACCTTGTCGTGCATCCACAGGTGCATCTCGAGTAGAGCCAGGGAGGTGATCCTCCCCCTCTATGCGACGCTGGTCAGGCCGCAGCTGCAGGATTGTGTCCAGTTCTGTGCGCCCCATTTCAGGAGGGATGTGGACAACATGGAGAGGGTCCAGAGGAGGGCCACCCGCATGATCCGGGGACAACAGGGCAGACCCTACAGTGAGAGACTGCGGGACCTGAACCTATTCAGCCTCCACAAGAGAAGGCTGAGGGGGGACCTGGTGACCGTCTATAAACTCACTAGGGGGAACCAGAAGGGTTTGGGGGAGACGCTGTTTCCCCTAGCCCCCGCTGGCATAACAAGGAGTAATGGGCACAAGTTAATGGAGAGGAGGTACAGACTGGACATCCGAAAAAACTACTTCACAGTTAGGGCGGCTAGGAGCTGGAACCAACTTCCAAGGGAGGTGGTGCTGGCCCCTACCCTGGGGATCTTTAAGAAGAGGCTGGATACCTACCTGGCTGGACTCATTTGAGTCCCGTTTTTTGTTTAGGGTTCTTTTGTTGTTCTCCCGCCCTGGCGGGGGGTCGGGCTAGACGATCTATTAGGTCCCTTCCGACCCTAAAACTATTAAACTATGAAACTATAATATGGAACGTAAATGAAGCTTCACGTTTATCTGAAAGGGTATTGAGAGTGAATGAGCCACTGTGTTCACATGATTTTTAAGTGTTTTTTAACTGCACAGCCAAGAAAGTGAATTTCCCATAGTAACCCCTCCCTTTGGTGAAGTGGCTGATTCTGCATTCAGCAGCACTTCAGATGGGTCATCATTAAATGGACAATGAAGGTGAAACTCAACGTGAAACTAAAGAAAAATCTAGTAGGGTCGTGCAATATGTGGCAAACCCTTGCTCTCTCATTGCCGGTAGTAACATATGCTCAACTAAGCAGAATTTCTGATCTGAAGAGTTGCAGATCTGTTCAAATATCTCTCTTCCTCTTCCTTACACCTCTAGGGGTTGACTTTACAATTCCTTTTCCTGAACCCCTGTAACCCTGTTGCAGGTTTCCAGCAGCCTAAATTGTGTGGAAATCCACGGGACCATGCAGCCCTTCACAGCTCTCTTTCCCCAGGAACAGAGTCCCGAAGCAGATTCATTACAAGGGTTGTTTAATTTATACTAGATTTAAGAAAAGGACCAATAAAGCACGGGAACAGGCTACCCAGGAAGGTTGTGGACATTTTAAAGACCCCCACCAGACAAAGCCTTAACTTGGATGAGACACTAGATGACCCTTCCAACCCTCATTTTCT